AACAATACGGAGAGCAGCAGCAGCAGCAGCAGCAGCAGCAGTAGCAGTAGCTAGCTGCTAGCCCCCTCTGCATGCATGCATAAAGAAACCTTCTGTTGTGCATGCAGCCCCAAGAAAGGAGACAATATTTGTTTGCATGCATGCATGCATGCAGTGCCAAGGAGGAAGATAACAGTTAATTGCTGCATGCATGCATGCAGCCCCGAGAGAGGAGACAATTAAATTATTTGTCGCATGCATGCAGCCCCAAGAAAGGAGACAAATAAATTAAAGATATTCTTCTTGTCTCCCTGCTGTCTCCAATTAAATTGTATTTGTTTATGTGTCTCCTCTTCCTTTCTTTATATATACTTATTAACATAATATATGTGGGGTCCTGTCCATGCGCTCGTGCTGCTGCTGCTGCTGCTGCTGCTGCTGCTGCACAGCAGCAGCAGATGCAACAGATGAGGAAAAAGGATAGTTACGATTATACTGCATGCATGCAGTCGTGTCTACAGACCCAACAGAAACCCCAAACCCTAAACCCTAGACAACAAACCGTTGCTGCTATACTACCTGCCTGCTGCTGCTGCAGTCTACGCTGCTGCTGCTGCTGCTGCTGCTGTTGCTGCTGCACTTGTAGACCCCCTACAACTGTCTCTCCCTCCCCTCTCCCCTGTCCCCACACCCTGAGGTGTATAGGCAGATAAATAATCTTGTGTGTCCTTGCTGCTAACAATAAAGTAATGTTAAAAGAATTAAACCCTCTTACAAGCAGCACCAGGGGGGCCCCCATGAGGGGGGCCCCCAGGGGGCCCCCCTCATGGGGGGCCCCACCCATATCAAGGGCTGCAAAAAGGGTACTGATGCTATATACTACGCCAGCTGTCTCTGCACACTTCATAGGTGCTGCGTGTCTTTCCCCTACAGACACAGCAGCAGCAGCAGGAGCAGCAGGAGCAGCAAACGTCGGCGGTGTTGCTGCTGCTGCTGCTGTTGCTGTTGCTGCTGCTGCTGCAGCTGCTGCAACGATGGTGCAGCAGCGTCTGCTGCTACTAACCTCCTCGCGATTGACAAACCTTAGAGATCTACTAACGGAAATAAGCAGCAGCAGCACTTTGCTGCTGCTGCTGCTGCGGTGGCGGATGTTGCTGCTGCTGCTGCTGCATGAGCAAGCTAATAGTACTCTACACTTGCTGCTCTTGCTGCTGCTGCTGCTGCTGCTGCTCCATATTCAAGCCTCAAGAAGGCCGCAGCAGCTGTCTGCTGCACCCTCCGCCATCTGTACAAAAGATGTAAAGGGGGGACCACAACTTGCGGCGTGCTGCTGCTGCAGCACCTGCTGCTGCTGCTGCTGCAGTTGCTGCAACTCTTGCTGCTGCAGTTCATGCTGCTGCAGCATCAGCTGGGGCGGTAATTCCTGATCTTGCAGCACCTGTTGCGGTAACTGCTTCTGCTGCTGCACCTCCTCTTGCTGCACCTCTTGCTGCTGCATCTCCTGTTGCTGCAGCTGCTGCTGCACCTCCTGCTGCTGCATCGCAAGCGGCTGTTCCCCTTGCCCCTCCACCTGCGGTATTTGCTGCTGCTGTTGCTGCGGTTGTAGACCCTGCTGATGCACCTGCTGCAGTTCCTGCTGCTGCAGTGCCTGCCGCAGCTGCTGCTGCCTTTCTTGCTGCTGCATTTGCTGCTGCTGTAGTTCCGGCTGCTGCAGTCCCTGTTGCTGCAGTTCCGGCTGCTGCAGTTCCTGTTGCTGCTCTCCATGCTGCTGCACTCCTTGCTGCTGCATTTCCTGCTGCTGCACAAGTTGCTGCTGTACCTCCTGTACATGCCGCTGCGCTTGCTGCACTTGTGTCTCCTGCTGCAGCAGGTCCTGTGTATGTCCCTGCTGCTCCGGTGTTTGTGGTTGGCCTTGCTGCTGCAGCTCCTGCTGCTGCTGCAGCTCCTGCTGCTGCTGCTGCTGCCCGATGCCTTCGTGTCCTTCAGCGGGGCATGCTTCGGTGGGCTGTGATTCCTCAACAGCTGCAACACCAGCAGCAGCAGGCGCTGCAGCAGCAGCAGCATCAGCTGCAGCAGCAGGTTCGGCTGTAGCAGCAGCAGCAGCAGGTGAGTCCTGCTGATTGCATGCAGGGGGGCCCCTTAGGGGCCTCCAATAGAAAGGGGCAGCTCCTGCCTTGGGCACTGAGGAGAAGCAGCAAGGCAGAGGCAGCATCATAATGCTGCTAAGAGATGCTCCTGCTGCTGTTGCTGCTGTTGCTGCTGCTGCTGCTGCTGTTGAGGGGCCCTCCATACTGGGGGAGGCCTCCTCTTGCTGCCCCTTACACCATAGACTCTGCAGCAGCAGCTGCTGCTGCTGTTGCTGCTGCGGGTCATGCTGTTGCTGTTGGTCCCAGGGAGAGGGAGGCAGCATCTGTTGCAGCTGTGACTGCAATTCCTGCTGCTGCTGCTGCTGCTGCTGCTGCTGCATGCAGGGGTCCTCCATACACCCCACAGGCCATGGTATCCAATTGCCCTCCCCTATAGCCATGAATGTGTCTCCTTTGTGTCTCTTTATTGTTAATAACTTATTAAGAGGCACACTCCATAAGGATGGCCTCCTGCTGCTGCTGCTGCTGCAGGTCGTGCTGCTGCTGCTGCTGCTGCTGCTGCTGCTGCTGCTGCTGCAGGTGCTGAGGATACTTGTACAGGGACTGTCTTGGGCATCAGCAGCAATATCTAAGGAAAGAGACACCTGCGTGCTGGCGGTGCTGATGTTGCTGCTGCAGCTGCTATAGCAGCAGTCATTGCTGTTGCTGTTGCTGCTGCTGTCATTGCTGCTGCTGCTACAACAGCTGTTGCTGCTGCTGTCAATGCTGCTGCTGCTGTCATTGCTGCTGTTGTTGTCGCTGCTGCTGCTGCTGCTAGCTTCTGCTGCTGCATCGCTACCCCACAGCAGCGGCAAGTAGACAGACTCGAGCTCCTTATAGCTAACAGCAATCTCCTGCTGCTCCAGCAGCGCAGCAGCATGGTGCAGCTGCAGCAGCTGCTGCAGTACTTTAGGAATCTCTGCTGCTGCTGCTGCTGCTGCTGATGTTGATGCTGATGCAGCACCAGTACACGGAGGACTCGCATACTGGTGCCCCCACTCTTCATGCTGTCCCGGCTGTTGCGGCTGCTGCTGCTGCTGCTGCTGCACCAGCTGCTGCTGCTGCTGCTGCTCCTGCGACAGCGGGAGACCATTCTGCTGCAGCGCAGAGGCTAGCTGTTGTTGTTGCAGTTGCTGCTGTTGCTGCAGTTGCTGCTGCTTATTAGAAATCAGCTGCTGTGGTCTTTGCTGCATCACTCCGTTCGGTGTCTTCTGCTGCGGCCGCATCAGCTGCTGCTGTTGCTGCTGCTGTTGCAGCTGCTGTTGCTGCTGCTGCTGCTGCTGCTGCTGCTGCATGCCCAGCGGCAGCTGGTGTTGAGGAAGGCCCAGCTGGTTCTGATGGTCCTGCTGCTGCAGCAGCAGCTGTTGCTGCTGCTGTGGCATGTGCTGCAGCAGCGACAGCGTTGCCCTTATTGGGGAGCCTGTGTCCTGCATTATCTGTTGTTGTTGTTGCTGCTGCTGCAGCATTTGCTGCTGATGTAGGCTCGTTAATTGCTGCTGCTGCTGCTGCTGCTGCTGCTGCTGCTGGGCCAGCAAAGGTACCTCTCCAGGGGAGGCCCCCTTCTTCCTAGAAGCTGAAGGCTTACTGACTGTACCCTTCCGTTTCTTAGCTGAAGAGGCTGAGGGGGGGCCCCCAGGGGCCCCTGGGGATCCCGGTGCCCCAGCAGGGCTAGGAAGAACGGCAGTGCCCCCACGAGGGGCCCCCTTGGAGGCCCCCCCCTTGGCGCCTGCCTTAGGGGTCCCCTTGGGGGCCCCCTTGAGCCCCCCTTGGGGGCCCTTGGGAGACGCACCTCCCCCTTGAATTCCGGGGGCCCCCTGAGCCTCTGGAGCCTGCGAAAGAGGAGGTGCAGCAGCAGCACCTGCTGCTGCTGCTGCTGCTGCAACTGCTGCTGCTGCTACTTCATGGTGAAGATGCTGATGCTGCGTTGGGTCTTGCTGCTGAGCATTGCCGCTCAGCTGGTGGGGCTGGCTTGGCTGCAGCTGCTGCTGCAGCTGCTGCTGTTGTTGTTGCTGCTGCTGCGGATGCTGCGGATGCTGCATCGTCTGCTGCGGCGCCGCCATGAGAGGGATGTGCTGCAGATGCTGCTGCACGTGCTGCTGCTGCTGCTGCTTCTGCTGCACGTGCTGCTGCTGCTGCATGTGCTGCTGCGGCTGCTGCTGCATGTGCTGCTGCTGCTGCTGCTGCATATTATACCCCTGATGCTGCAGGGGGAGGTGATTGAGAGTTGGCTGCTGCTGCTGCTGCTGGATTTGCTGCAGCGACACCATCTGCTGCTGCTGCTGCATGGGATGCTGCTGTTGTTGCGGCAAATGCTGTTGCATGTGCTGCTGCTGTATATGCTGCTGCTGCTGCATCTGCATATGCTGCTGCTGCTGCATCTGCTGCTGCATCTGCAAATGCTGCTGCTGCTGCATCTGTTGCTGCATCTGCGATTGTATGTGGTGCGGTTGTTGCATGTGATGCTGCTGCATGTGCTGTTGCCGCTGCATGTGTTGCTGCTGCTGCATGTGTTGTTGCTGCTGCATGTGTTGTTGCTGCTGCTGCATGTGCTGCTGTTGCTGCTGCTGTTGCGCGTGTTGTTGCTGCTGCACATACTTCTGCTGCTGCATGCGCTGTTGCTGTTGCATATGGTGTTGCTGCTGCATGTGATGTTGCTGCATGTGCATCTGCTGCTGTTGCATGTGCTGCTGTTGCTGTTGCTGCATATGATGCTGCTGGTGCATCTGATGCTGCTGGTGGATCTGGTGCTGCTGCTGCTGCTGCTGCTGCACATGATGCTGCTGCTGCATATGGTGTTGCTGTTGCATGTGTCGCTGCTGCTGCTGTTGCATCTGGATTGTCGGCAGCAGGAGCTGCTGGTGCCGTTGCTGCTGCATCTGTTGCTGCTGCTGTTGC